TTTAGATTCACACTATGGAGCGAATCATCTATCGCTTTTCATTAATATAAGATTACGGTACGAACTTCGACAAGGATTTTAGGCCACTGGAGGCTATTTTCTGCCTCGGAACAAAACCAAACAAGCCAAAAACTCTTATACTACGGTAATGAGATCCATCAATTTCGGATTCAAAACTCTCGTTTTACTGTGCTACTTCTTACCTAAGTGATTCCAATAAATCGTAATACTCAATTCTCAGCATTTGTCATAAAGGTAATTACATCGTCAAAAAAAGCTGACCTAAAGCTTCTCGAAAGGCTTTATTGCAAAAGAGTTTCACAATCAAACATTAGGCACATTTTTTGGAAGACCCTGTGGGAATCTCTGTGAGTGCATCGATTGAGTGGAAATTCCATACACATATGTTTCAACCCAGGCACTCCTTATAGGCTACTTTTTGTGACGATTCGCTGAGCCCTTATATCGATTTATTAATTTTGCCGCTTTACAAAAAATAAACTTTTATCAACCGCCACAAATCAATCTTACTCAAATAAACAGTGTACGTCTTATTGTATTGCTCTACCAAAGGAGTTCGGTGAGGAGAAGCGCGTTTTGCATTCTACTATAGAGTGACTGCATCGCAGAGCATGGTTTGCATCTGAAAAACCCACCGAAGAGCGCTTACGTGAGGCTGTTTTTTTTAGTCAGCGAAACAGATGTTTTTTCAAAGCTGCTGATAATAATTCCCAAATACTGAGAAAGTATAGATTTTGACAGTATCCAGGCTGCTAAAGTTGTGTTGCTTATGAATCTCAAAGTTTTTTGAATTTTTTGCTCTGTAATACAATGACATCAAGATAAATGCACGCGCACTTTATGTTGAACGGTGGTAGTATGCATATTTGCAGATCATAGATAGTAGAGGGGATATGCTTGTACCAGTTATGATCACAAATGTAAGAACAGAGAAAAGCCTGTGATATTGGCCGGGCAACACGGGACTAGTATGATATATGCAATTTCGAAATCACGCTGTTGATTGCACGGAGTGGAGAGGCCCACGGCTGGGCTCATACTGATCCCGAAGTTTGAAAGCTGCCTATTTTGCATCAACTTGTAATGACGCTTGTGGTGTTCCAACATTGCAATAACTTCCGAGGTAGAATATTTGTATCGCGGTTTGTACTGCTGAAGGCATTGTCCGTTGAGTTACAGTTGCAGCGGTAAAATTTGTTCAGCGGGATTGTCGGGATTCGCGGGATTCGCGACTTCACGGGATTTGCGGGATTCGCGGGATTTGCGGGATAAGCGGGGTTTAGCTGTAACTTCTTCTGGAACAATTTTATATGAGATCTGCAAGAGGATTCGGATTCAGCTTGATGAGGCGAATCTTTTGGTATACGGTATGTCTGCAATTCATGGTGACACGGTAGACATATTATGATACATTGTTATTTTCTATGGTAAAGCTTTTGTGAACATTTATCACAGCGTAAATCGCGAATAGCAGGTTCTGCTACGAAGTTCTCATTATCGAAAACTATCGCTGAAAATTAAGCACTTTTTATTTACCCTTATCACTGATATAAGCATTTGATCATTTATCACAGATAATATCACATTTTTGGATCATTTTTGGCATATGGTAAGAAAAGTACTGTAGGAAACGCTGAGTAAATTTCTATCGCACTTTCTCTCATTATAAGTAATCTACAGGCTTTTCTACTTCTATTGCTCGGTGCAATTGGTAGATTCCTCGCTGCAGCAATTGATCGAATTCTCATCGGCACATGCCATTGCTGCCAATACTTACCTAAAATGGCATTTTTGTTTCAACTCGCTTCACACCGAAGATTGGGCTGAGATTCCGCACCTACATGGATGTTGGACGTGTGTGTGTGTGTGTGTGTGTGTGTGTGTGTGTGTGTGTGTGTGTGTGTGTGTGTGTGTGTGTGTGTGTGTGTGTGTGTGTGTGTGTGTGTGTGTGTGTGTGTGTGTGTGTGTGTGTGTGTGTGTGTGTGTGTGTGTGTGTGTGTGTGTGTGTGTGTGTGTGTGTGTGTGTGTGTGTGTGTGTGTGTGTGTGTGTGTGTGTGTGTGTGTGTGTGTGTGTGTGTGTGTGTGTGTGTGTGTGTGTGTGTGTGTGTGTGTGTGTGTGTGTGTGTGTGTGTGTGTGTGTGTGTGTGTGTGTGTGTGTGTGTGTGTGTGTGTGTGTGTGTGTGTGTGTGAATCTCTGTCTGTCACAAGATTCGTAGAGCGAGTTCCAGCAAAGGTTCTACTCTATATGCCTTACTCATTCTTACCTAATGTATTGAAACTCACCACTCACTCCGATTACCACGAATATAATTCTACTATAATAACGCGAAGAGTATATACGTGTTTTTGTGTGTGTGTCTATCTGAATGTCTGTCTGTCACGAAATTTCTAGAGCGAGTTCCAGCAAAGGCCTTGAGCTAGAGTTCTGATAGTAGCACCCTATCAGCATGTAGGTAAAATATGCAAATGCAGAAGCTGATCCATTGTTTGGAACCTGTAGTATTGTGCGCCAATCGGATCCACGCGACATTTCGCGCGCCAAAGTGGGCCGGTAATTGGACTTTTTTCCAACGTCATGGTTTCGTGTAGCAAGTAAATCCGCAAACCATGGACTCCAGCCCGAAAGTGAGCAAAAATTTAATTTCATGCAAAATCGGCGCCAAAAAGAAATAATTGCGTAGGTGATCGATTTGCCAAAGTTTTACTTGGGAATGTGAGAAAATTTTTGCTCAGAGATGTACCTCACGGTTGTTATCATCTTTGGGGTGACTAACAAGCCACTATAACCCCATTGGTCGATTCAGAATTGCATTTAATCTTTTGGAGAATGCTTTCTTTCCCTCAAAGTCACCAATCTTGCATGAAAAAGCTTTTGGAATGAGTAGTTGTTTACATTTCATACGTGATGATCGGCATGGCGAGGTAAGTTTCAAAACCATCATTTTGCAACTACGAGAAAGGCATGTGGATAGTAGAGCCAGTGCGAGCCTCTGCGAAGCAGAGATGACGCACTGGTCTCCTTTAGTATGTGATCTACAGGCTCAGTTCAGTTGCGCATTTGGTGCAGTAGATAGATTCCCCACTGCAGTAATCGATGGATTGCTCATCATGCGCATGACACCGTCTCCTTGGAGACGTTGCTGTTTCAGAAAAATTCACTCTCTATAAAATGTGAATGAACCGAGTCGCCTTTTGAAAGGAGTTTCAACTATGAGCTGAACATTTCTGTTTTCTGCGTATGGACATGAAGAATCAGATTCACGAAAGCGATCGGTCTAAGGTGCTAAACCGCGCAAACGGCGTGCTCGAGCATCATTCCATCAGAGAGCACACGCCCGCAAACGATGCGCGTACATGGGCGGTTGCCTCCGTATCAAGTTTTTTTGAATTCTCCTATGCTCTACTCTATTTCTTGTTATCTACAATAGCTCACAAAACGTGCAGATTTTCTTTGTATGTCGTGAAATTCGGGGGTTTTGCGAAAGTTCGTAAAACCTGGGGACTGTGCCATCCAATGGTGCATGCGTCAGGCTCCATTCTGTAAAAATCGCCGAGTTACGAGCCTATGAAAACACGTCCTCATGAAATTTGCACAAGACGTAAAGACCGCATAATTCAAAATTCCACCGTGAGTGGGAATACAGTGGGAATTCTTAACCGAAATGATAATACTTGTAATCAGAATCTATGACTTAATAATAACGGGCTAAGGGTGTTTACGTCTGTTTGTCTGTCTGTCTGTGTGTACGTCTGTCTGTCACGAAATTCGTAGAGCGACTTCCATCAAAGATCCTGAGCTAAAATTTTGGTCATAACACCCTATCAGCATGTAGGTAAACTGTGCAAAAGCACAAGCCGATCCGATTAGTGGAACCTGTGAAAACTGAGCGCCAAACGGGTCCGCGCGACTTTTGGTCCGCCAAAATCTGTCGGTAGTTGGGCTTTTTGCAAAGTCGTGGATTTGTTCAGCAAGTAAATTCGAAAAACCTTGACTTCAGCTCAAAAAGTAAGCAGAAAGTCAATCTTTACACAAAATTGGCGCCAAAAAGATGTAAGTGAGCAAATTGTCGATTTGCCAAAAATTTTCTATAAAAATTGAGAGGATTTTTGAATAGATATGTAGCCCAAAGTGGTGTTTATCCTTATGGCGAATATAAAGCCAAAATAAATTCAGTAACCCATTCAGAATCGCATTTGTTTTTCTGCGGGAAAATTTTTTCTCCTGAAATTACCAATCTTACATGGAAAAGCACTAAAAATGAATGGTTGTTTACAATTCATTCGTGATGTTCAGCATAGCGCGGTGAGTTTCAAAGTCATTATTATGCGACCACGAAGAAGGCACGGATAGTAGAGCCAGTGCGAACCTCTGCGAAGCAGAGGTGACGCACTGGTGTCTTGAAACCACTCACGGTGGAATTTCGAGAATTATGCGATCTTTGCATTTTGTGCAAATTTCATGAGGACGTGTTTTCTTAGGCTTGTAACTCGGCGATTTTTATAGACTGGAGCCTGAGGCATGCGCCATTCGATGGCACAGTCCCCAGTAAATTTAAAGTTACAGCTGAATCCCGCTTAACCCGCAAATCCCGCGAATCTTTCAAATCCCATGAAGTCGCGAATCCCGCGAATCTCACATTCCGACAATCCCACGAATTTCGACAATCCCGCAATTTTGGACAAACTCTAACGCTGCAACTGTATAATGGGCTTCCAGATTCCTGTGTAGGAAATTGCGAACTTTTCTTGATTTCAAGGACACTTATTGAACCCCACTATACGGCATTGCTCTTCCACTCTCTCGCTACCAAAAACCGCAACGCCTCGAGCTGCAAACTCCACCTCCACAATAATATGAGAGCCGATACTTTGAAGCTTTAGTAAAGAGAATGGGAAGCACATTGGTAGAAACACACATACTAAACTTGCTTGTATATTCTGTTTACTGCCTGTCCAGTAGCAGAGTTCATTTCTACTCAGTTGCTATAAAGTTCAGCCATGATGATTAGTGAGTTCTAGCGCATCAAAGTTGTCGTTGTAGAATTTTGTGTGCACTCACTCAATGATCAATAGCTTCTGTCTCTTATACGCATCTTGTGATCTTACGCAACTATATGTGTGCGAGAACGTAAAGCAAATTTGCATAATGCCAAAACGTTGTCAATAAAAATGTTTTTCTTAGACACACCTAATGGAGCGGCCATAGGTTACCGGCAATCGTTGTATACCGAAGGTGGGTAGGTATACCAAAGAAAAACGTTAAGGGCACCTTCCACCCAACTTCCACGTTTTTGTTGTTTCAGGGCCTTCTCATGTCCCTGATTCCGAATCTTCTTCTTCTTCTTTATCTTCGCCATTGTCCCGCGGGTGCAGGGTCGGCGGTGGTGCATTTTTGCTTCCATTTGACTCGATCAGCTGCTTCTTGTGGTTTGAGCTTTGCAATGTGCAGGTCGTTTCGAATGGTGTCCAACCAGCGTTGCTTCGGACGGCCACGTGGTCTCTTCCCCTGTGGATCTAGACGAATTGCTGTTTTTGCTACTGTATTATCTTCACTTCGTAAAACGTGACCATACCATCTTAATCTGGCACCTCGCATCTTATCCGCTATAGGTGCAACTCCGAAAATGTGTCGTACATCATCGTTCGTGACGCAGTTTCTTCTCGTCAGGCCCAGTATCCATCTTATCATTCGCGTATCCATCGTGCTCAGAATCTGCTCGTGTTTTCTGGTTGCTGGCCAACATTCGGCTCCATACAGTGCGACTGGCCTCACCACAGTCCGATACACTTTCGACTTGAGATACAACGGAATTCGTCGGTCGCAGAGTACTCCTGTTACTTGCCGCCATTTTAGCCACGCCGCGTTCGTCCTAGCACGAGCATCAGTGATCGTGTCGCAATCTGACGTCACTCGGGAGCCCAGGTATTTGAATATCGTGACCTTCTTCAGCGGCTGCCCATCGATGCTAATTGTGCCATCGGTTTGCTCTCCGCATTCCAGGTACTCGGTCTTTGCTACGTTCAGTCGTAGGCCATACTCCGCTAATCGTGTCTTCCATCTCACAGTCGCCTCTTCAAGCTCTTGTCTCGATCCGCTTGCTAGCTCGACGTCGTCTGCGTAAAGGAGCGTCCACGGATGCGGCAGCTGGATGTCCTTGGTCACCGTGTCCATGCACAGTATAAAGAGAAGCGGTGATAGAGCCGATCCTTGGTGTACTCCGACTTGGATTGGGAATGGCGTTGACGTTCCCACTGCACAGCGTATGGCGCCCGTCGTGTTCGTATAGAGGAGTTTGATCCAGCGAACGTACTCTTCTGGGACGTCGTGTTGTCTCAGCGCATACCAGATCAGCCCGTGTGGTATCCGATCAAATGCCTTTTCTAAATCCAGGAATGCAAAATGAATCGGAATCCGTTTCTCCAAATGCCTTTCCATTAGCAATCGTACCGCGTGGATGGCGTTGATGGTGCCAGATCCTTTTACAAAGCCGCATTGATTCGGGGTGACCTTCACTATACTTCGAATGCGTGCGTCGATGACTCGTTCGAGGATCTTCATCGTGTGGCATAGCAGGCGTATTGGTCGATATGTTGAACAGTCGCTGACGTCGCCCTTTTCCTTCCAGATAGGGACTGTGACACTCGTAGTCCAGATTCGCGGCAACTGTCCTTCTACGATAATGCGGTTAAAGAGCGACGTGAGATATGCCGCTCCACGTTGCCCCATCATCTTCCACACTTCAGCAGGTATGTCGTCGGGTCCCGGAGCTTTTCCGCTAGACATCTTCCTCAGTGCCTGCACAACTTCTGCCTCCTCGATCCGAGATACCGGTCCATATGTGGGGGCTCCTTGCGGTATTAACGGGTGCGGGAACTCCTCATTAAATAGCCCTTTGTAGTATTCACTCCACCGCTTGAGTATTGCCCTCGGCTTTGTCAGGAGGTTGCCCTCTGCGTCCTTAATGTGCATGACGTGGTCGATGTCCTGCTTCGCTCGATGTCGTGCAGCGGCCAGTCGGTAGACCTTGTTCGCTCCAGCAGGTCCTTCCAGGTCGTCGTAAAGTCTCTTGTAGTGAGCTTCCTTTGCTTCGGCTACCGCGTGCTTCGCCTTCGAGTTCTGTTCTCGATACCGACGGAGGTCTTCATTTGAGTGTGAGCGTTGCCAGGCTTTGAAAGCTTCTTTCTTCTCCTTGATCACTTGCTGGACTGACTCAGACCACCACCAGATCTGCTTGTCTACAAACCGACGTCCTGGCTTGGTGGTTCCCAAAATTGTCTCGGCCCTCGATCGTATCTGCGAAGTAATCCGATTCCATTGCTCTTCAATTGACTCCTTATCATCCGTCGACACCCTCAAATCGTTAAGAGCATATCTGACTTGCTGGCGATGTTCGGGGAGCTTCCACCATTTGATCCTCTTTGTAGTCGTCCTTCTGGCTCGTGACCGCAAGTGGATGTTCAGTCGAAGATCCAATACAAGCAACCGGTGTTGTGGCGCAAATGCATGTGTCGCCGTGGGTATAACCTTCGCGTTCATCACCATTGGCAAGTGGCATCGGCGCAGCATCCAGTAGTCGATTTGAGTTGAGCGCTCTCCACTCGCGTACGTGATCAAATGTGACTCTCGCTTCTTGAAAAATGTATTCGCTATCGCCAAGTCGTGTGCTTCTGCTGCTTCCAGGATGCGTTCTCCATCTTCATTCCTCTGACCGTATCCGTTTCCACCACGGTATCGCTTGAATCCATAGTGTTCGTGGCCAACGTGCCCATTGAGATCGCCTCCTACGAAGATGTAGTCTGCAGCGTCGAATGTCCTTAGCAGGATGTCGAAGTCCCTTCAAAACACGTCCTTCTCGACTTCGGTACATGCGGCTTGCGGGGCATAACACGAGACTATTCGGAGCGTGGCATCATCTGCTTCGATCTTCATCGCCATCAATCTATCTGAGATGCGCGTCACTTCGGTCACTAATTCGCGGTATCTACCGTTGACGATGATCGCGACTCCGTTCTGGCGGCTGCTATCTCCCGTGTAGTACAAGCGATATCCGTCGCCGATGTCCTTTGCCTGCCTCCCTTTCCATTTCGTTTCCTGTACACATGCGATGTCGACGTGTCGTTCCTTCAGCCTATCGCATAGCTCCCGACTGCGGCTCGTCAGCGTTCCTATATTGATCGTCGCTAGTCGGATTTCCTGGACTCGCTTCTTTGGCCTGCCTCGTCCGGGGGCAGGTAGCCCTAGCTCACTATTCGCGCCATGCGGGCAATGACGCGCGTCGCCTCCGGGGGACGCCCTAGCAGCTTGACAAAATTCCTTAATAGTCCGATGCATGTGACACGACTGATTCGTACAGTCCCCGGCGCGTCGCTCCGCCTGGCGGGACAGTGCCCTCGTCGTTTGCCGGGGTTGGTCCCCGTTGCCAGCCGGCACCGCGGGGAGGTGACGATGGGACTTTGCCCGCCATGTCCCTGATTCCGAATATGAAGTCGAAAATGCGCGAAAACCCCTACAATCCCTCCGGGTAACCCACAGTTCGGCTTTCCGGAACTGTGATCGTGCACGCAGAAATGGGGCATGGATTGGGTCCTCGTGCATCTTCGCTATTCCGAAGCGATTTTCTCGTTTCCGAAGCGGCATTTTGCACCGCGACTCGGGCATTGGATTGATAGGGGGCCTTACTATTATATGTTGCCAAAAGCTCAACACCCTCAACTTAGGGTGGACGGTGCCTTTAACGGTTGTCGAGGTTGTCGGCACTGCCCGCCGTTGTGGGACCTCTTCGTGACTTATGTGCTTTATAAGCGGCAGCCCCAGCAACCTCGGCGATTCCAACAACTTCGGCAACCCCAGCAACCTAAGCAACGTTGCCGGCAACCTACCCCTTCCCTAACGAATTCCCAAGATGTGGGCTATAAAAAATAGCTCACTGATTATTACAGAATTTGCAAACCTATTACCCTAATTTCACGCGTACAAGGCGCGGGGTGGTCCTAGCTTTCATCGAGCTGCTCAGCCGCCCCAACGTGTATTAAGAAGCGAACCTTATGCCGCACGATTCGTCAGGCAAAACGCAGCACGGTATGGGGTTCCTTTGGCTGCGAAGTCCTTTGCCGTTTTCGGGCTGGTCGATGAAAGCTAGGACCACCCCGCGCCTTGTACGCGTGAAATTAAGGTATAATTAGTTTTTATTTGTGCTATAAATTTACACGCAAGGAGCTAGAGGTTGGGCAGTAATACTGTAGTAATAGCACTTGAGAGGCTTGATAAGTGCTAAAATGAGGTCGCCAACATCGAGCAACCACCTTGAAGCAAATGCGTGTAGCATTATATATAACCTCGAGTCATTTGTAAGTTAATATGTGAGATTGCACACTAAGCCCTATTGACGGCCCCAATACTAGTAACTTCCTGTGCAACATTTTCTAGCGTAACAAAGTGTAGAAATGTGTTCTATCAACTAACATATAACCAACAAGAACAAAAGAAACAAGGAAACAAGAAGAAATCACTGAAATTGAACAGGTTCTAGTTTTGCAGTCCGTCATTTAAGGTGTATGGTGTGCACTACGCATATTAAATTAGGAATGACTCGACGTTATATACACAAACCAGTGTGTCACCTCCGCTTCGCGGAGGTTCGAACTGGCTCTCCTATCCTTATGTCTCCCTCATGTTCGCATAAGATGACTTCGAAACCGACCAGGCGATATAGAACATCACAAATAATTTGTAAATGACTGTCCATTTTCAAAGCATCTCTACGTAGGATCGGTAATTTTGAGGAAGAAAATTTTTATAAAAAAATAAACAAAAAAAACAAAAAACAATAACAGAAAAAAAACAAAAACAACAAAAAACAAATAAACACCGGCGAATTTAAATGGATTACTTAATTTTTAGCTTGGTAGTCGTCATAAGAAAAGTAGTCACTTTGGGTTACATTTCCCTGCAAAAATCTTTCCAAATTTTTAGGTAAAACCCAGCCAAATCGACTATTGACGCGCTCA